GTTTTTTATTTTATTTATGTTTTTCCTCTTATTGACAGCTTTGATAGTCAGGATTATGAGTTTTTCATTTATTTGTAGTGAAAATGGTGAAGATGTTAGTCTGGTAACCGTCAAGTATGATATGGGGTGGCAAAAGAGAGGATCTGGTAGAAAATACGACTCCAAATCAGGCGTTGGAACTTTGATCGGCGACCAAACAGGAAAGGTTGTAGGAAGGGGCATTCGTTCAAGCGATTGCAGAGTTTGTACCTTTTGGGAAGCAAAAAATGTAGAGCCACAGGGACACAAATGCACCCGCAATTGGTTTGGTTCGGCTAAGGGAATGGAACCAGACGTTGGTGCAAGACTTATGGAGGACATTGAAACAAAAAATTGTCAGGTTTTGACTGTCATTATTGATGACGACACTACAACCATGGCTCGCATAAGACGTACAATCCAACATCCTATAAAGAAATTGAGTGATACAAATCATATTAAATCACAATTTAACAACAAATTGTGGAACTTGAAGAATACTTTTAAAAATGATTTGACTAAACCTGCAATTACCCATCTAATAGGTGTTTTTCTTTTGCTCTTTACTCAAACAAAAATGATCCGGAATCCATGGGTAATGACTTAAAAGCTATTGTACCTCATCTATATAAAGAACATGATCTTTGCAATCAGAAATGGTGTTCATACAAAAGAAATCCTAATAAGTACAGACCCACTGTATCTCTTAATAGCCTGCCTCTTCGCCAAAAACTTGCTGAAATCATTGGGGAATACACCTCCGGTGACAATATTGAGAAAATATCCCCCTGTGCATCAACAAAAGAGGTAGAATCTTTTCATAGCATGCTAGCAAACAAAGCACCAAAGGCGAAACATTTGTGCTCATCATCAAGTTTGGAATGTCGGGTTGACTGCACTGTTGCTCAAAAAAATATATCATATGGATATATATCACAGGTATATGAAGAGTGTGGTCTTTCCCCAGGTAAAATAACCGAAAAATCGTCCGAAAACTTGCGGTTAAAAGAAAATACCAAAATGATTACAAGAATTCAGCAGTAAATAAACGGAGAAAATTATTTCGAAAACAGATTATAAAAGAAAAGGAAACAGTAGTGGAGATGAGGGAAGGTGACACGTACAAAAAATCTATTGATTTAGAACACCCGACCCTAATAGACATTGATTTTATATCTGATCCAGTTACAACCCCTTCGTTAGACACATTTGACGTCAATATTGATAATATGTCAATTGTTTACTTTGACTTAGAAACAACATCACTAGCAAATGATTGTGATATCATTCAAATTTCAGCTATTGAAAAGTCTTAGGAATTTAATCAGTACATTACTCCATCGCATTGTATAATTAGACAGGCATCATCGGTCACAGGACTATCAGTATGGAACAACATACTTGTACATTATTGTCAGCGGGTAGATCAATGCATTCCAGAAAAAGCATTTTCAAAATTTTATATGCTGGCTAGAGAAATTCCCCTCTCAGATTATTTTAGTTGGACATAATTGCCGTCGTTTTGATGCCCCAAGACTAATTAGATCTCTTTCACAATACAATTTGAGCACATCATTTCAAAAGAAAGTAATCGGCTTTATGGATACACTATCTTTTTTCAGGAAAAAGTATCCGGATCTGAAGTGCCACAAGCAGGAATTTTTGGCTGAAAATTTGTTACAAAAACAATACCAGGCACACAATGCTTCTGAAGATGTAAAAATATTACAATCTATTCTAAACTTTGCAAAACCTTCAGAATCAGAGATATCAGAAAATTCATTTAGTACAGAATCTCTAATTAGAAATATTGTTTATGTCAAACAGACAAACCAAAGATATTCAACACTGCAAGGGCTTGTGGATAAAAAAATAATAACAAAATGTATGGCAAAAAAAATAGCTGAGAGTGGTCTTGATATGGCTCAACTGTTAGCAGCGTATCGTCGCGATGCAGTATGTGGGATTCAGCGTGTATTTTCTGAAGAAAAAAAATTGACAATAGACCAAGAGTAACAGCATGCAAGCGTATAGCTTCCGGAATCTGTAGTTTTCTGTCCAACGGAGAAATGTAAATAAGAACAATGAGTTTAGACTGTCAGTTTTCTCATATCACATGAAACGTCAATACTTTAGTCTTCTATACTACATGTATAAATAATTCATCAAAAATTTAATTGCATATTATTATTTATTCGGCTCAGCCTGTCGATTTAGTAAAAAGCAGGGTCAAAATTCATTTTTCGATATGTTCTAGTTCTGAATATGCATTTAACTTGCCACTGGTATTCCTTCAAACTACATGTCAATTAGATAACTGTGGTCCTAACTAATATCGTGGATCTACAGGGGACCGTACGGCCTTCAACAACAACAAAAATATTTGGCTTTACATGTCTCCAACAAGACAAATATTTAACACAAACACACATATATTTATGAAGAGGAACCTGATGTTCAGTGGTTGCCGTTTGTTGATGTGGTTCATAAATGTTTCTCGTTCTCGTTTTTCATATAGATTAGATCGTTGGTTTTCCTGTTTGAATGGTTTTACATTAGTCATTTTTGGAGTCCTTTATAGCTTGCTGTTAGGTGTTAGCCAAGGCTCCGTGTTGAAGACCGTACTTTGACCTATAATGGTTTACTTTTATAAATTGTGACTTGAACGGAGAGTTGTCGCATTGGCACTCATACCACATCTTCTTATATCTACTTACAGAGTACTGCTAAACTGTAACCATCACATTAAGGTCCGTCTTGTGAAAGAGTATTCGACTCATAGATAAATGTTTTTGTGATTATATGCGTGTACTATATGCCACTGAAAGTTTATCAAAAACCAAGAAAAGAACCAAAAATAAACCAAAAATAAATAGTTCAGATGTAGGTTCATGTTCAGATCACTCACTGTGATCACTTGCCTGTCAACAGGGATAAAGGGAGATCGTCGCATCCGATCATGTCTGAAAAGGACAACCAGTGTTTCAATACAAAAGTAGCTGGTTCTCTCTGGATACATTGGTTCTTTAAAAGACAAAATGGCCAACGTGATATAGCAGAGAGTGCTGAAAGTGGCACACACAATCAATCAGTTATTTTAAAATTACTTCTAGACGTTTACCTACCATAGATCATTATTGGCAAAAAAAGTATATATACCAGCTGAAACATACATGTGATGAAAAAATATACATTCAAAGAAAAAGAGGTGCACCAACAGAAATAGAAACTGCAATCTTACTCTTAATTTTATCGATTCTCAGAATGTTAACTCTTACCAGAATTTTCACTTTAACTCATAGTATAAATCGGAAGTTTCTAAGTGTAACTTGAGCTTTAACGAGAACTCTTATTCAACTTATATTTCAACTCAAAGTAAAACTCGAACTTTAACTCAAAATGTAACTGGAACTGGAACTTAATCTGTTTATTACATATCAATATGGCGATGTGTATACTATTGTCCAGTGGCGGTTCCATAATTTTTTATAAGATGGGGACTACTGACTGTCCAGTTATGCGTCAGTGATCCCCTATATAATCAACCAAATTTTTCCCACAAAAAGGGGTGGGCGGGCCCTGTCCCCCGCCCTTTGCTTAATCCGCCTCTGTTGTCAGTGTGTGTTTACATTTATCAGATGTATTGTATTGCATAACATACCAAAGTTGATCGATTAATCGAACGGTAATAACAAATAAGAAATCATAAAGCTTTAATACCCAGACGATGAACATTGAACAATATTACAATGTATGTACAATGAATATGAAACGATGCATGTGTAGATGATCGAACTCGGTAAATATTGGTTGCCACAATTCGAATAAATTATGCAGCGTTATGTAAGTACGGAAATTTTAACCAATTGTAAGATCCTTTCGAAAATAGTGTCATTAAGGTTTTTTCAACGTGCTGAGTTTGTGGCATTTTTTTACACAGCATTTCAGGTTTTATCTTCCCGGTGCGAATGGACAAGGCAGTGAAATTATTCTGCCTGCAATCAAAAAGGAACGCGTTACTTTTCAGCGGATACACTGCAAGCCGAAAATAATTTCTATAATATGGCATAAGGCAATCATTCGTTTTCCTCATATAACAAATGCAATTAAATAAAAATGAGATGACTTCATCTTTGACAATTTCTTTATAATAAACTGTTACTTTATGTTTGTTTAACGATTCGATAGATTGATAAAAATATTAATGAATAATCAAAATACCTTAAAAAATGTTCAAACATGATATTATAGTTTGTAGTGAAAAATTTTGACTCAACTCAATGCAAGCGTTGCACAAAATGCTGCTATACCAGCAACGTCGTTCTATAACGTTAAAAGAAAAGACATATTTCCCGCCAAAATTCGATAATGTGATAATTTCCTTTTTAGCTGTTTTAAAACATCGGTGACCCCCTTTTTTATTTGTGCTTTTAAAATCTTCCCTGAAGCTACAACTTATGCAGAAGTTTGAAGGAAAAAAACATTAGTAGATTTTTTTTATTTTGAGAAAAATCTAGAATAAATAGCAATTAAAATGGCGGGAAATATAATAAAATGCTTCGCTGGGGCGCAGCTTGATACGACCGCAGAGGTCGAACCCTGAACAGTTGGGGCAATTATGGACACAACATTCAAGCTTGATACAGCTCTGAATTTGGATTGTTATTAAATATTTGACATAGCATAGGTTTCTGACACAGAAAGAATGTGGTCTAAGAACTTGAATTTTTTTAATTTACCTATTATGGTCCAATGTCCAAAATCAAAATACATGGTTAGATTCAGCATATCAAAGAACCCCATATATTCAATTTTTGTTAAAATCAAACAAAGTTAAATTTTGGACCCCAACTTGGACAAACTTGAAAACTTGGCCCATAATCAAAAATCTAAACACATGTTTAGATTCAGCATATCAAAGAACCCCAAGAATTCAATTTTTGCTAAAATCAAACTATGTTTAATTTTGGACCCTTTGGACCTTAATGTAGACCAATTTAAAAAACGGGACTTAAAATTAAAAATCTAAATACACGGTTAGATTTGGAATATCAAAGAACCCCAATAATTCAATTTTTGATGAAAACAAACAAAGTTTAATTTTGGACCCTTTTGACCTCAATATGAACCAATTTGATAGCGGGGCCCACAAATAAAAAATCTAAATTCATGGTTAGATTCAGCATATCAAAGAACCCCATATATTCAATTTTTGTTGAAATCAAAAAAAGTTTAATTTTGGACCCCAACTTGGACCAACTTGAAAACTGGGCCCATAATAAAAAATCTAAACACATGTTTAGATTCAGCATATCAAAGAACCCCAAGAATTCAATTTTTGTTAAAATCAAACTAAGTTTAATTTTGGACCCTTTGGACCTCAATGAAGACCAATTTAAAAAAAAACGGGACCCAAATTAAAAATCTAAAAACACGGTTAGATTTGGCATATCAAAGAACCCCAATAATTCAATTTTTGATGAAATCAAACAAAGTTTAATTTTGGACCCTTTTGACCTCAATATGAACCAATTTGATAGCAGGGCCCACAAATAAAAAATCTAAATTCATGGTTAGATTCAGCATATCAAAGAACCCCATATATTCAATTTTTGTTGAAATCAAAAAAAGTTTAATTTTGGACCCCAACTTGGACCAACTTGAAAACTGGGCCCATAATCAAAAATCTAAACACATGTTTAGATTCAGCATATCAAAGAAACCCCAAGGATTCAATTTTTGTTAAAATCAAACTAAGTTTAATTTTGGACCCTTTGGACCTCAATGAAGACCAATTTAAAAAAACGGGACCCAAATTAAAAATCTAAAAACACGGTTAGATTTGGCATATCAAAGAACCCCAATAATTCAATTTTTGATGAAATCAAACAAAGTTTAATTTTGGACCCCAATTTGGACCAACTTGAAAACTGGGCCCATAATCAAAAATCTAAATACATGTTTAGATTCAGCATATCAAAGAACCCCATATATTCAATTTTTGTTGAAATCAAACAAAGTTTAAATACTGGACCCTATCTAGGACCAACTTGAAAACTGGGCCCATAATCAAAAATCTAAACACATGTTTAGATTCAGCATATCAAAAAACCCCAAGAATTCAATTTTTGTTAAAATCAAACTAAGTTTAATTTTGGACCCTTTGGACCTTAATGTAGGCCAATTTAAAAAACAGGACCCAAAATTAAAAATCTAAATACACGGTTAGATTTGGAATATCAAAGAACCCTAATAATTCAATTTTAGATGAAATCAAACAAAGTTTAATTTTGGACACTTTTGACCTCAATATGAACCAATTTGATAAAGGGGTCCACAAATAAAAAATCTAAATACATGGTTAGATTCAGCATATCAAAGAACCCCATATATTCAATTTTTGTTGAAATCAAACAAAGTTTAATTTTGGACCCCAATTTGGACCAACTTGAAAACTGGGCCAAAAATCAAAAATCTAAATACATGTTTAGATTCAGCATATCAAAGAACCTCATATATTCAATTTTTGCTAAAATCAAACAAAGTTTAATTTTGGACCCTTTGGACCTTAATGTAGACCAATTTGAAAACTGGACCCAAAATTAAAAATCTAAATACACTGTTAGATTCGGCATAACAAATAAATAAATGTGATCAAAGATTTTACAAATCTAATGCGCCATACTGTGCAATTAAAGATTACTTCTTGAAATTTTTCAATATTTGAAATTTGAAAAAAAAATAAAATTTGAAGAATAATTCTTTTTAATTTCTGAAATCTGAAATGAGAAAAAATTGACCCCCCACAATTTCTTTTTATCCCCCTCCCCCTTTTTTCCCCCAAAAAATTCTTTCCCTCAAGATATGGTCAAAATCTCAATTCAAATTTCCAATGGAGTTGGCAACCATAATTACCCATTTAAATTTACCATAGTGATAACTTAATCTATTTTATAATAGAATTAAAAATATAGTGTCAAATCTTTCATATGGATTTTTTTGTAAAAAAAAAGATGCAACATTTGCAGATATTTTTACTGGTCTTCCTTTATAAATATGCATTTCTTTAAACATAATTTAAAAGCAGTGTAAGGGAAGTAACCAAAACGTTGTATTTGGATTACCTCCCTTACACTGTTTTAAATTATCTTTATTATTCATTAACCATTACTTTATACATAATTTAAAAGCAGTGTAAGGGAGATAATTTCAATGATGTATTTGATTTATCTCCCTTACACTGCTTTAAATTATGTTTTGTACTAAAGTATTTGTCCATTAACCAGGACAACCTTGTTTTTCCCCCTTTTTTGCCCCTAATTCCTAAACGGTTTGAGCCATAACCCCCCAAAGCAAATCCTAACCATCCCTTTGTGGTATGGAAACTTGTAGTATAATTTCAGAGAGATCCATACACCGTTCCACAGTTATTGTCTGGAAACTAGAAAATGCTTATTTTTGGCCCCTTTTTGGCCCCTAATTCCTTAACTATTGGTACCATAACCCCCAAAATCAATCCCAACCTTCCTTTTGTGGTATTTAACCTTATGGTCAAATTTCAAAAAGATCCATTCACTTAAACTAAAGTTAGAGTGCGAAAACCAATGTGTATTCGGACGACGACGACGACGACGCCAACGTCATACCAATATACGACCACAAATTTTTTTTGCGGTCGTATAAAAAGGCCTTGAAAAATAAGGAAATTGAGACAAATAAATGTTTTTAAGGTACCAGTTACATTTGACTGATTTTATTATCACAGTTAAACATCTTTTTTTTAATAATTTTGCATTTTTTAAGCAAATTAGAGCGCTATTTTTATATTTTGATTAAACGCGATTCTTTAAGTTTTGATGACGTCATATCTCGAAAACAACATCGGTGACCCCAATTTTTTTTCCGCCAAAAATTTCATAATAAGTATGATCTATCTACATGCAAAATTTCAATGAATTATTATTAGTAGTATAAATAGTGTGATTTCCCTTTAAGGCATCTGGTAATGAGATATACATTATCCTGCAATCGACCTTTCTACTATACTAATACAGGTGTACAGATAACACGAAGCGATATACGTATACAAGACGTATATAGTCTCCTGGTATCCTGCTTCTGTTGCGATTGAACGGTTATGTCAAATTACTGTTTACGTCACAGTTCAATTTGGGGTCCTCATTGTGGTCCGCGTGTAAGTCATGTAGATTTCTTTCAAAAACATATTCAACGATTGGGATGGAAAAAAAAATGTACAAAATTAATTGCAGGATAAAGACAATAACTGTTTAGTGTCTTTAAATATCAGCTGTATTTGTACTCGACTCAAAACAGGAGTAATAGCTCGCTGAAGCTTGCATTACACCTGCTTCTTAGCCTCATACAAATACAGCTGATATTTAAAGACACTAAACAATTACTGTCTATATATCCAGTTCTTCTTCCTTAACAAAGCTGTATACAGTTTGTTTACACTGTCACAGTCAATAGATCAGCATCCTAATTCTGGTATTCTTGACCTTTGCTACAGAGTCAGAGAAACCATCTCAAAGAATGCTCACAATTATTGAAAGCAAGCTCAATTGCTGAAATTAAATAATGTCATCCTACACTTAAACTAATGAAAAACAAAAGAAAGGTCTGGTAAGGGCTTATTTTGGCCTAAAATTTGAAATACATCTGATGAAAGATTTTTGAAATTTTACAAACACTTTAGTGTCTTCTTCAGTCGATTCAATTAGTTTATGTAAAATATTTGAACTGATTTGGTCATTAAAGATGCCCAAATTCAAGCTTGAATATGAAAAATCTATCAAATATGCCACAAAACTTCACTTTTCAGATGGTTTTTGTCTAAAATGGAAGTGGATGCATTCGTGTTCAGTCTCAACCTTTATATATGTTATGCATTATCAAAAACAACATATATTTAAATATTAAGACTGAACACAAGTGCGGCCACTTCCATTTTAGACAAAAACCGTCTAAAAATAAGCACAAATGCTAAAATTGTGAAGATTTCTGTAATTTTGCATGAATTAATGATGGTAGTACCTAATGCATGTGCATTGCATTGTCAAAAACAGCCCATATTTATGTAACAAAAGTATTATACTTTCCAATAAATAGCTAAAAGTTTACATTTTTAACAATTTTTTGAAATGCTACATTTTGGGGCCAAAAAGGGGTCTTACCGGTCCTACTCCTTTATATAGGAACTACTTTTAATGTTTGTACAAACTTGTGTTTAAAGGGAATATTGGTCATATTTAGGTAATTTTCTGTACTGTTTCTCTACTACATACATATATATTAACTAAGGAACATGTCATAGACAAATTAACTAAGGAACATGTCATAGACAAATTAACTAAGGAACATGTCATAGACAAATTAACTATGGAACATGTCATAGACAAATTAACTATGGAACATGTCATAGACAAATTAACTATGGAACATGTCATGGACAAATTAACTATGGAACATGTCATGGACAAATTAACTATGGAACATGTCATAGACAAATTAACTAAGGAACATGTCATAGACAAATTAACTAAGGAACATGTCATAGACAAATTAACTAAGGAACATGTCATAGACAAATTAACTAAGGAACATGTCATAGACAAATTAACTATGGAACATGTCATAGACAAATTAACTAAGGAACATGTCATAGACAAATTAACTAAGGAACATGTCATAGACAAATTAACTAAGGAACATGTCATAGACAAATTAACTAAGGAACATGTCATAGACAAATTAACAGTTACTGACCAGATAATCATTCCAAAACACCCAAATACAAATATGTGTGGGTTTTTTTTCTTTCTCTAAATTTGTTTTAGATAAACCAATAGTTATAGAAAGGAACATCCAGAATAAGTCATTGTGTCAGCATCCTATTGCCATAATAAAATACATTGTAGTGATATTTATATTGTTTGTATGATAAATGTTTATAATCTCCTTACTTTTCAGTGATTCTGATTCCTCCAGTTTGGCCTTTGTTGCTGCAGATAAATATTCTACTGACACTTCTGGCTTGTAATCTTGTACTATATATCTAAATTAGATAAAATATATAAGTAATTTTGATATGATATATTTCCTATAATCACAATGTACTGTTTCATTATAACCTACTTGTACTGTACACTGTCTATATTTGATTAATTGTTGTTTGCCTAATACACTCCTTTAATATTTATCTGACTTATACTTTTCCCAAAAGGTGAAAAGTTCAATCTTAAATATTTAAAATGCTAGTTTGAGTACATAAATGACTGTTTCTGTCTGCTGTGAGTTACTGTTTGTGTTTGAAAATGTGTAATATATCATGTGACTTACTTACTGATCCTGTTTGATTTGACTAACACCCATGTATGGTGTGACTAAGTTACTGTTCCTGACAGATTTGCACATCTGATATATATCATGTGACTTAGTTACTGTCCCTGTTTGATTTGACTAACAATCATGCATGGTGTGACTTAGTTACTGTTCCTGTCAGATTTGACTAACAATCATGTATGGTGTGACTAAGTTACTGTTCCTGTTATATTTGACTAACAATCATGTATGGTGTGACTTAGTTACTGTTCCTGTCTGATTTGACTAACAATCATGTATGGTGTGACTAAGTTACTGTTCCTGATAGATTTGACTAACAATCATGTATGGTGTGACTTAGTTACTGTTCCTGTCTGATTTGACTAACAATCATGTATGGTGTGACTAAGTTACTGTTCCTGTCAGATTTGACTAACAATCATGTATGGTGTGACTAAGTTACTGTCCCTGACAGATTTGACTAACAATCATGTATGGTGTGACTAAGTTACTGTTCCTGGCAGCTTTGCCTATCTGATATATATATATATCATGTGACTTAGTTACTGTTCCTGTTTGATTTGACTAACAATCATGTATGGTGTGACTAAGTTACTGTTCCTGACAGATTTGCCTATCTGATATGTATCATGTGACTTAGTTACTGTTCCTGTCTGATTTGACTAACAATCATGTATCATCGTTCCTGACAAATTTACCTATCTGATATATATCACATGACTTAATAGTTACTGTTCCTGTCTGATTTGACTAACAATCATGTATGGTATGACTAAGTTACTGTTCCTGTCAGATTTGCCTATCTAATATATCATGTGACTTAGTAACTGTCTCTGTCTGACTTGAATAACTGTCAGGTTTTATGTGACTTAGTTACTGTTCATGTCTAATGTGACTTACTTACTTTCCTGTCTAACGAGACTGTCATTGAGTTACTGTTATGTGACTTATGTCTGAGGTAACTTTGAGTTCATGTTTGAAGTGTTCAAATATGGTTAACTTGTTTGAATGTTTAATTCTTGTGACCTTCAGTTTTAATATGCAAGAAAGTACTTTTATATGAATATTTGAATATCTATTACAATCTTACTTAAATAAGGGACTTACATCTGTTATTAGTGATTTGACCTACAGTTCATAATAGATGTGACTTACTGTTCTTTAATAGCTGCAACTCCAGGCCCATAGGATTTCTTTGATCGAGTGTCTTCTGTTGTGGCAGCCATCTACAAAAAACAATGACTTGATGATATTAAATACAGGGCTATAACAATATAGAAACTAACTTTTTCATATTTCATCCTAAATTTAAATAAATACATACTCAACTAGAAAATAAAAGAGATTACTAGATTTTAGTGTTGTTTGTTTATATGTATCCATGGTTTTGATCATCTACATTTTTTTGTATTCCAGATTGGTAGTATTTTTCTGGTTTTCCATGTCTAAGTTATTTTTCTGAT